ATCTGGGGAGCTGGAAGATGAGAACTGGCGACTTTGTAGTACAACTTTAGTACGCGGCTGAGTCATCTCTCGCGGCTGCTCTGGCGCCCCTGTAGCTGAGTCATGTCTCCCGGCCACCCGGCTCTCTTGAGAGGTTGACAAAATTGAGCTACTTTGCTTACTCAAAAGTGGTCATTTCGATTACTTTCTGAAGACCTCAAAACACGTATTTTGACAGGTCGACAAATTTGAGCTAATTAGCTTCGTGTCTAGACCAGCTATCACATCATAGTTAACGTCTAGCTCCAGTTAGCTTTGTGGAGCTAGAGCTAGAGCTATGCTTTACTCATCACTCATCACTCATGCGTCTGACTGAGGGACACGAGGGACACGCATGGTGGAAAGAACCGGGACACTCCTATACGTCAGATTGTTCTTATAGGAAACTTCCGCCGCCGGCTTGCCCGGGAACTACTTGTACTGAAACCATCCCGTCCAGCCTGCTGCGGTCTCTTCGTGCTGGTTAAATGTCTCGTCATCAAGCGAGTGCCTCACGTCCAACACCACTCCCCAGCTGCAAAACGCGTACCAGTCTTCCTGGAGTTCTCTCACAAGAGGGACCTGCTCCATTAACTTTCGTAAGTTCACTGCTCAGTGGTCACGCCAGTTGCAGGCCCTTTGGCCTCACTGGCTCCTTTGAGAAGAGCCTGAGCGACGCTGCTACCCTCTTCAAATTGTCCCCTCCCCAGCCTCCCCCAACAAAAGGCTCAAGCGCAGTCTGACATGTTGAGCCTCTCCCCCAAATTGCCTTGAGTAACCCTCGGTGGTAAAAATTACTAATTGATCATCGACTACCATTGTAATTGAAAGTGCAACGACATGTCATCACAACGCTGAATATGAATGATGCTTATGACGACGACGAGAATAGAGCGCTATGGAGATCACAGCAATCCTATCTACGCGTGGCACCTGACTTTACGGGCAATCAATGGAACACGTTAACACATATTGTTTCGGCAAGAGACTGGAGGCCATCGCTAGTAGGGAGGCCATCGCTTGCAGGTTGGAGGTCATCGCTCGCTACTGTCACTTCTCCGCCCGCTCCCGCTCCCGTTCCAGAAAGGTTTTCGCCTGTTGCAGCATCCCAAGGCTGCGTCGTTGCATTTCCAAGCGGGCCTCTTCTTCCTTCAACCTGAGGTTCGGAAAATGGTGCCTGCTCCTTGCTCCTAGTAGCGTCCGATCGCTCCTAGTAGTAAGGCCAGGAGCCCCTAGAAGCGTCCTTGCTCCTAGTAGCGATGCCCTTTGCTCCTAGTAGCTTCTTGCTCCTAGTAGCTCGAGGCAAACATTAAACATGATTTGCGTGCCAACATGCATTAGCTGAAATCGTAAGGGGCGAGCGCGGACGCAGCATGCAATTGCCTAACGAAGCTGTTCTGGCGAACTGAACTCGTCATGGCCGACTCATGTCACTTCCGTGAACAAAAAACTGTTTGACCGTTTTCAGTGAACTTGTCCAAACTTCCTTCCGGCTTCCTTCTGCCTTTTAATTTAGATGTTGTTCTCACTTCTGACCGCGGTACGCCGACTCCTCCTCTAGAAGCTGCAACTCCCGCTCTTCGAAGTTTTTGGCTTGCTGCCTTGCTAGCTACTCCGCCACTCCACTGGTCTTGCAACTTCGCATTGCACAGTTTTACTAGAGAATGCTAAAGCTCCGCCTCTCTAGAAACCAAATCAACAGTACAAGTGTGAGCTACCTGCGCCCTACCCAGGAGCTAACTAGGTAGGTAGTCTCTACTTAATGTAGTAGTAAGGGGGCAAAGCGGCCTTAACAAAAGGAACATTAAAAAAGGATGCTCTTTTTCTCGCTTCTTATAGCACTCTAGGAGGTTCCTCGCTCTTCCTCGGCCTTCCAACCAGTTCAAGCCTTCAAAGCTTTGTGACCTCTTCTTTGTGACCTCTTTATCCTCCTTATTCCATTCTATATGTTTCCAAATGTGTTTAATTGTTCATCCTCTTTATCCTCTTTCATCCTTTTCTCTCGCGAACTCCAGCACGCACTACAACGAGCCTGGAGATCTGTCATCAACAACATGTCTGATACGTTAGTTTTTTTGAGGGGTGCCTCCGTCAAACACACGTCGAAAGGGTCAACGCAAAAATGACTGGCGGCACTATGGCGTGATGGCTGAGTTGCAAACCGTTTGATTTGAGAAACCTAAAAATGCAATCCAGCTAACCCGAATCGGCACACTGTCGCACATGCGTTCCCCCGAGAAATTTGGTTTAGCGGCATTTACAGCATGCTCCAGCAATCTCACTGAAGAAACAGTCATACATTTTTTGCATGCTGCAGGGCAACCAGGTCGCCAGCCATCCTATAGCCGCATAGTGAAAACCAAAATAAGATATTGCGTTTCAGACATCATGAACCGTGAAAGTTAAGGCGTGAAATGATTCCTGCACTACACCAAACCTCTCCTCTCAACATTCGATTCAAATCACTGAAAAAGACAAGGTCTGCACAAAGCAAATTTGGATTGGTTGCTAGAGATCCTTGCTTCATGTATTTCCTCTGTTTGGTAGTGTTATCAGTTATCAGAGTTGAAAGTAGCTAAGTGTGAAGGGCGGATTTATCAGCACTATTCAGCACTGCATGAAACCTGAGTGGTGTACTAATTGAATCTAATTTAGCTCCATTTATCACGTTCTTCATGCTAAGTAGTGCTAATTGGCGTGTCAGTCTTGGCTTCCCAGACTTGGCAGCTTGCTGTCTTGCTTCCATCTCCCTGGCAGTTGCTTCAACCTTGGCCGGCTCAATCAAAGCTTAGTAGCTTCTTGCTCCTAGAAGCGTCCCTGCTCCTAGTAGTAAGGCCAGGAGCCCCTAGTAGCGTCCTTTGCTACTGCAAAAAGAGAAAAACATTCAAGGACTGGATAGCCACTTGGATAGCCGCACATGTCAACTATTGTGTCTATAACAGGCAAAGGCAAAAGCGGAAGGAAGAGGAATCATAGCGGATGAGTGTATGCAGATCATGACTGGAGATGTGAAGTAAAAGCGTTAACATATATTGTGATGAGTGAATAAATGAGTGTGAGTCGGTGTGTCAATGAGTCAGCAGGCATGACTCGACTATGTGGCCCTTTTTGATACCAAGGAAAAGGAAACGGTACAGCAAAGGTTGAACCTCCCTCTGAAGATGGGGTGCTGCATTCATTGAAGTCCGGATACTTCCGAACTCTGTTGCGTCTGAGCGTAGATCTGTGGGTGAGGTCGCTGGACTTCGGGGGAGGAGAAGGACAGCCAGGCTTGGAGGTTGTGGATGGACTCAACCCCAGCCATAGGGGCTCCTCGAGTTCGTGAAGGGCAGCAGCATAGCCTTGTAAGCGGAATGGTAAATGGAGTTGGTCTACTTTGCTTGGTCATGGGGTTCGAAAGAATCTAGGTGGACTTCAAGCAGCACTGCAACTTTGTGAAGGTGATGAAACCGGAGCACTACAACGAGTTAAACGATGTGTGAAATACTGAAACTGTAGAAGAAGCAGCTTGCCATGGAGGATGCCAGCGGTGATCAAGGATTTGAAGTGCCTGTCACCTACACTGGAGATATCTGGTAATCTTGGCTGTGTTCGTCATCCGAGTGAACCTAATAGCCATGGCCTCCAACCTAGTAGCAATGGCCTCCAACCAGTACAAGAAACAACGAAAACATCGACGGGATTGGGAGACAAGCTAGGTCCGCTAGGTGTCGATGCGCCTAGTGACTAGTGAAGGCTATGGGGCGAGTGGCAACCTGATAGAAACTTGCTTGGCAGCTGTGGAGAGAGGCAAAACGCTAAGTGAGTGAGTGTGAGTGAAAGTGAGATTGAGTGAGGCAATGAGGGAGGCGGGAGGAGGAGGAGGAGGAGGAAGCGGCCGGGATGCACAGTAAAAGTGAGAGCCGCCCAAAAAATGGTGGAAACAACCCTGCTACGCTGCCTGCCTCGTCACGGAGTCTTTGAAGCTCAGCACGTTCCGCCTCAGTGCTTTCCGTTGTCAACCACGTATACATAACATACACTACAACATATTATCATACAATCCAAGCATCTTAGCTGTGCTACTCTGTAACTGTGGGTGGCCATCCCATCTATTGAACAGCTTTTCAGAACTGTTGGCTTTGCTCTAGGGTAAAAGTTCATACACCCGCCACAAAACCATCGAATTGCCATTACAAAGGGGCCCACAGCCCACGCAAGGATGCAACAAACCAGTTTCGTTTTCCACAAGCGAAGCAAACAAAATAAAAACAAGCAAGCACAAACAAACTCCCTAGTTGGTTCCCTTTCTCTGGCCTTCAATGCGGGGGATTCCTCGTCAGATATGACCTCGGAAACGCTGTGAAACGTGCAAAAGGTTAAGCGGCGGCAAACCCAGGCAACGACAAAGGGGATCTTCACTGCAACTGCCTCCAAGCGCCGTAGCGTGCATGTTGAACGAAAGCCAGCGACGTTACATGAGTGTTGCTTTCTCCGCAGCAAAACTCACCAAGAAAGTAATAAAACGCTACTAGGAGCAATGACGCTACTAGGGGCTCCTGGCCTTGCTACTAGGAGCAAGAAGATACTGGTAACAAAGGGCATCGCTGCCAGGAGCAAGGACGCTACTAGTAGGGACGGTTTCTGCCTCTGGGGGTTCTGCCCGACGTTGTTCCAAGCGCTCTTCTGCAAGTCGCAAGGCTTCCTCTCAGATCTCTCATTCAACACACAATTAACGCATGCCAAGAACATGTTGTTCCTGGGCTTTCCCTTCCAACATTTGGTGCACAACGTGCTGATGGGCTTGTGTTCTACCGGTGTTTGCGGCACATCTTGACTTCGAGGCACATTGGTGGCCCCTGTTCTGTCTGAGTAGCAGGGAATCTTGACATCAAGGCCCGTTTTCAGTTGCAAATCGTCGACCATGAGTACCACTGGGTTCCGGTTCCTGACGTGCTTCCAGCACAATGTGTTGGTGCCCTCCCAGTTTGGCATTCGCATGATTGATCGACAAACCTTCTTGAAGTCGGCCCGAAAACCGGTCAATCATGAAATAAAAGGACCGGATAACCCCACATGATAAGTTTTACAAATTTCAATTGTATATGAACATCACATGGGAGACGGAGTAGTGAGAAGGAGGGGAGGGAGGAGGTGTGTGTGTGTGTGGTAAGATGGCGTGCGTGTGTGTGTGTGTGTGGGTGTGTGATAAAGTGTCTGATGATGTGATGAACAAGGATGAGAGGGACGAGAGAGAGAGAGAGAAGGAGGCGGAGAGAGAAGTTTGGAGGCTCTGGATTTTG